CAGATCTTTTCCACTTAAGAGAGTTTGTGAAGTTTATCAAAAGCTATATTTATTTTTTTCAAAGTAATTTGATTTTATATCAGAAAAGAGATAGAGTAATCTTATACTGCCTATTCTTTTTTCCTTATTGTGGTGACAATGGTATGTTATTATCTAGCAGCAAGATATTTGCATTTTAAAAACATTTCATAAAATGACTCGTGTCTTTCCCAAATGATTTCTTTTGACATTGTATCTACAGGAAAAAGCAGTAAAAAATAAATAAATAAAGCAAAAAGCAGAGGAGGTGATATTGCTGTTTAGAGAAAATCAAGCTATGCAGGATTCACAATTTGTCATTTCATAGCTGTTATGAAACCATCAATATAAACTGGTCACGATTCATTGTTCGAACTGTTTTAAATGCTGATCCTAGCTTCTTCCTTCTTGATTTAAGGTTAAGATGGCATCTCTCCAATCTATTAAAAGACCTAGTGTGGTGGGGACCAATTCGAACTGGTTAAATTAAAAAGAAAAGTATTTTCCTTGTATATATTTTTGGGGACTGCATTTTTCGTATCTAATTGGGGGAATCAGGATATCCTTTCTTCATAAAAATACAGAGTGGCATTTGTTTAAGAAATCATCTATCTAATATTTTCTTTTACTATGAGAGACCAGTAATATGCACCAGAGAGATCGAAAGACCAGTGTTCATGAGGGACAAAGGTAATTAAATCAAGGAGGAGAGACTGCTTGAATCAAGGGGGCAGAAATTGTGTTCCTGAGGTGGCATTTAATTGCCTGTCTTCCCTCTGTAATCCACTTCCCAAATATTCACAAGCCCAAACTGAGAGCCTTGGTTGCCTTTTTTGATGCTCTGCATAGGTTCTAAGAAGGTGAAATGTTTTTCCTTATGCTTTGCACCTTGACTCTATAACTCCTCCTCTGGGACAGCTCGCCACGGTTAACTCACTGCGAGACAATTTACTACAGAACAAGAGTTACACTAACATCAAAGAAACGGTGGAATATAATCATTAAAGAAAGGATGCCAAAGGAGGGACAAACTGAAATGTGAATGACAAACATTAAAATAATTCTTAAAATAATTTTAAATAATTAAATGGAATTGTTGAATCGTTCCATGAAGAGTTGGCCACGGTGAGCTGTCCTGTGTCCAACTGGCCATGGTGAGTTGCTTGCAGCGAGTTGACCCATTCTGCCTTTCATAGCTGCACCTGTTCAGGTGTGCACAAATTTTTCACTTTGAATGTTTGACCACTCTCCCACCCAACTTACAGATGCCCTTATGCCTCACCTGTCTAATATGGCATTTCATTTTTTAAAGGGGTTGGTGATTAATCAAACAAGTAACGGAAATGAGTCTACTGTATGTTTGCATGCCAGGTGTTTTTTGTTTTTGGTTTTTTACCTCTTGCTAATAAAAGAGCCACTTACCTTGATTGTAAAGTTTTTGAATCTCTTGAATACTTTTGATGCCCGCTGATCTTCGAAACAGCCCTTCTGTTTTAAGTCCTTGAAGAGGGAAGGATTAAGGTTACTTTTTGCCACTATCGGTCATTTGACTTTCCAAATTAATTACTCAGCATTCTTGTGAATATAAGTGTCATTTTTTTCCAGTACGGGTTCATAATAGCAAATTGTTGCACTTGTTTCACCAGAAATCTGGTGAAAGTAATTTGTCTCTGCTTTTGCTGTATTGTTGTGATTGTTTAGTGTTCAACATCTCTGCAGGCAAAGAGTGATCATCCGAGGCCAGTGTTCTTGCATAACAAAAGCATTTATGCAGAGACGTTTACTCAAGCACAGTAAGACTTCAGTAGAAATCTAAGCTCCAATTTGCAATCTCCCATTTTATGAGCTGGAAAGAACTGAAAATGAGGCTATTGCTTTGCCTGGTTGTATGTGATGCTGGGTGCACGGAAGAAGCAAAGGGCTCACAAAGACATTTGGTAGTTGGTTTCAAAGAGTGAGAACAATGTTGGTCACCACTTTATGGGTTAGTGTAAAATTCCTCAATCCTGGCAACTTGAAGATGTATGGAATTCAGGGAGTTGAAGTCCAAGCACCTTTAATTTATTTGTTGAATCTATTTGCCCTAACCCTTCAATTTGCCAAAGTTAAGACCTACAGGGTTAGAGGTTCGCACTTAAGGATACCTGTGGAGACTCCTTCACCTGGGAGACTGGCTTTTAATCCCCTCTGCACTGACAGGGCTCTGAGACCTCCCTTTGCCTTGACCCAAAACTTTTTAATTAACAGGTTCAGATTAACAGATTAACAGAGTTGGAAGGGATCTCGTAGGTCATCTAGTCCAACCCCCTGCCCAAGCAGGAGACCTTTACACCATTTCTGACAGGTGGCAGTCAGTCTCTTCTTGAAAACTTCCAGTGATGAAGCTCCCATAACCTCTGAAGGCAACTTCTGTCTCATTGGTTAATTGTTCTCACTGTCAGAAAAAATTATCCTTATTTTCAGGTTGAATCTCTCCTTGATCACTTTCCATCCATTATTCCTTGTCTGGTCTTTGGTTGCTTTGGAAAATAGCTTGACCCCCCACCTCTCCTCAAATATCCAGGCCTTCAAATATCCAGGCCCTGAACAGCACATGCATATTTTCATGCTTTGATTAACTATTCTTCTAGCAATAGCAATAGCACTTAGACTTAAATATCACTTCACAGTGCTTTATAGCCCTCTCAAAGCTGTTTACGGAGTCAGCCTCTTGCCCCCAACAAACTGGCTCTTCATTTGACCGACCTCAGAATGATGGAAGGCCGAGGCAAGGTTGAACCAGTCAAGATTGAACTGCTGGCAGTTGGCAGTCAGCAGAATTAGCCTGCAACCCTGCATTGTAACCACTGCGCCATCACTGGAGGAACGCGAGATCTTTTTTCAAGGAAAATCGCAAATACAGTAGTCCTTGACTACCTAGGCTAAGCGATGCAGCTGTTAAATGACTCTAGCTTCACCCACTGTTTGGTAGAAGCTGCCTGGAAAGGTTGCAAATGGTGGACATGAAACCCCTGGGATGCTGCCACTGTTATAAGTACATGCCGGTTGCCAAGGGCTCAAGTTTCGATTATACGACTGCAATGGTCTTAAGTGCAAGGACCAGTCAGAAGCCACTTTTTTCAGCATTGTCATTCCTTTGAATGGTTGTTAAACAGATGGTCATACGTTGATTCATACCTGTGATACTTTTGCAGCTGTTATTATACACCAAGCCAGTTTACGGTTGTTGGGGAAAAAATATGCTTTGTGTTTAGGTTGAAATGGTATTCTGTCTTTCAAAATGTGTTCCAGGCTAATGTGAATTTTCCACGTTATTGAGACCTCTTCATTCCATTTCTATTGTTTTGGGAAAAGAAGCTACTCATTTTAGAAGCCATGACTGAAATAATAGATCAGCGAAATAATAGATCACACATTACACCGTTCTTCCTAAGTACAATCATCAAAGCCCAGGTATTCCTCAAATTACAACCACTTGTTTAGTGACCATTTGAAGTTACAATGGCACTGTCAAGTGTATTCTGACTGCTTTCATTTCTCACTGCTTCACAGCTTAACAACAGATCGGGGAAAGGAAAGGAGAAATTAGAATGTGTATTCTAGATCAGGGGTTGGCAACCTTAAACACTCAAAGAGCCACAAAGGTCCTAACCAGAAGCCCCCTTCAATTCTGGAGCCGACCAGACCCTATGGCGGTTCCCCCACCATAGAGTCTCCTCCTAGCACGGCATCCTTTTTCCTCTACCTGTCCTAACCAAAAGCCCTATCAATTGTGGAGCTGACTGGCAACAGGGAGTCGCAGCAGAGGGATGAAAGAGCCACATGCGGCTCCAGAGCCATAGGTTGCTGACCCCTGTTCTATATGATAGCAAGAAATGGTCTCATGGACATTTTAGCTGGTGTCCACCAAATCTGCACACACCTGGACATCTAACTGGACAATGTGACCTACACTAATGGTGGGGAAGGAGGATTCTATACTTTAATTCAATTCTTTTTTAATCTGTTCAGGTTCTGAATTGTATTTCACTAATAGAGTACATGTTATACCCAGCAAATGTTCAGTATTATGAGTTACAAGATTTTCAAATTCAGTCAAATTTTTCACTGTCCTCCCTTCAAATGCACAGGTATAGAATAGGTGATACCTGGCTCAACAGCAGTAACTATATAGTTTCCCATACAAATATTAGCCAACCCCCATCTTGTTTAGCTTTCTGAACAGGTAAATGAATGACAGACAGTAATTAAAACAAAGCAACAATGAAAAGTTGATGAAAAAAGTTTCCAAAGAGCAAAATCAGTTATAAATCAACTCACTATATGTCAATCTAATTAAATTGATTAAAGCATTTGATGCAGAAAAGATAAGGTCAGCAACAGATGGACTCTACAGGAGAGGACACTCCAGAGATTAGGACCCATCACTCAAAAGCCACAAGAGGATGATTGGGTCCTGCCTCCAAGACCTGAGATCGGCAGATGGGGATATTAGATGGTGTTGAAGGTATCGTCGTAGGATGTAAGCTGTTCCGAGTACGACTGCCTTTTGCAATTGACTGGTGGTGAATTGTCAATGCCTTTGGTGTTCAAATGGTGCTCCAGTTGTTTTGGGGTTGTACCCAAGGCAACTATTACTATTGGTATTTCTTTTGCTTTCTTTTGCCACAGTTGTTATTGTTATTACAATTATCTATTTTTATGGCTTTATTACTTTTAATGTTGTAAGCCACCCAGAGTTGCCAGGGTAGCAAAAAAATTAATAAAAATAAGTAAGTGAGTAAATACCAAAAACATTTTCTCAGGGAAACTACCCACCCTATTTAAATTTGTCTTTGCCTCCAGCCCTCTCGACCCATTTGTATTTGGATATAATTGTGGTTGTGTCTCTTGTCCAAATGTACCCCTGGCAAAGTTCTCCTACTGCACCTTCTGGATGAATTAGATAAACAGATAAGCAGAGTTGGAAGGGATCTTGTAGGCCATCTAGTCCGACCCCCGCCCAAGCAGGAGACCCTACACCATTTCTGACAATTAGGAAAGGGCCCTGCTTATGTACTTCATAGCCATTGATGTCATTGTTCATCCCAAAGAGGAAAAGTATGTGTGCACACCGATGCTTACTTTTATGTCAGATTCAGACTCCTCCCCCTTTCTCTTTTTCTTCTCCTTCCAGGCATTCAGAACTTAAATGGAAAGCTCTCTTTATTTTTCCAAACCACAATAACAGGGAGAGTCAAGGCTGGACTAACATTAGGAAGTCAGCTTCCATGGCTGAAAGAGACCTGTGTGATTTTTCACTTTTCTTGTGCTGGTTCTGAATGTTTGTGAAATGGTTTTTACATTCTGCCTGTGTTGACATTTGCAATTCTTTGCTTTAAAACGGAAGTGAATCCTTACCTCTTTTTTTCAAGTAGGCCACTATGTGGTTCATTACAGGTGGGATTAATTCTCCTTTGTTTTTAGCACGGAGGCTGTTGGAGAAAAGAAAATAGGTCGAAACATGAGCTGAAAAAAAATCACAGCATTGGAAAAGGGATCTTGCTTCTAATCTGTTAACCTTCCTTTCATTAAAAAAAACGTTTCAAAAAGGGGGGCAATGCTTTGATTTTGATGCCATGCCTGCCATCTTGCAGATTTTGACACATACCCCCATACACAGAAAAAAATTATTTGATAGCAAATTGTTACTTGGAACATCCAGTGTGAAAAGAAGATCAGTCTTGGAGCTCATTCAGCATAACTTCAGAAGAATTCCTTAGCAGGGTAAAAGCAAAATATGTATCTTCACAGAACGAGTTTTTGAACTTTGTTTAAGGAAATATGATTTATTTATTATTTATTTATTTATTCAAACAATCAATCAATCAATTTCTGTAGCCACCCGTCTCAACCAGTGACAGCTTACTATTCTAAAAATATAAAAGCAATTAAACATTTAAAAAATTAAAACAATAAAAGTATCCAAAATAGATATATACAGCAGCTTAAATAAATTAACCAATTAATAGTAAAGTCAAGAAATAGGATCCTTAACATATTGAGAGCTCCAGGCCCAGGGATGCAGCCAAGGTTTTTAAGCCTTACGAAAGGCCAACCAGGTTGGGGGCCACTCTAATTTCCAAAAGGAGAATATTCCACAAAGCAAGGGCATCTGATATTCTTTGGAGACAGGATCTGCAGCATGACCAATCTGGTAGATCAAATTGGATGGATAGAGATTCTTGAGAAAAGGCAATCCCTTAGGTAATTTTGTCTTCCTTCCTTCCTTCCTTCCTTCCTTCCTTCCTTCCTTCCTTCCTTCCTTCCTTCCTTCCTTCCTTCCTTCCTTCCCTTCCCTTCCCTTCCCTTCCCTTCCCTTCCCTTCCCTTCCCTCCCTCCCTCCCTCCCTCTCTTGTGTAGCCATGGAATATCCTGGCACGCCCTGGTTCATACAATCACAAACCAAGGTTCTGAGAAAGGGTCACCGTGAATTCACCTCTCACCAACATCATTCCTAGTATTGATTATCTGAAGATTCAGAGGTGGAAAGTTGTGTGTTACAGCCATAGATCTCCCTCACTTTCTGGAAATTAAACACCCAATTTAAGTTCAACAGGAGAATTCTGTGAGATGACAATGATAATTAACTGGTCTTAACGAATTCGATGTCCATAAATGGAAAATTCTGTTATTTGAGGAAGGTTATAATTTAGTAACAAGATTTCTACAATGCTTACTCCAAAGAATTTCAGGCAGCGTGCAATCTCTATGGTGCGGGGGGGGGGGGGGCACTATCCCAAAATCCCAATTTCCTAACGCAAGCTGGGACCTAAAATAAACCCAAGAAAAATGATGACAATGCTCCCGCCAAGAAAACATCCTGAACATCAACTCATCCGAATGTTTTTGTTGATCTTGAAGTATAGAAGGTCTCTGGCTGACTTTGGGCCATTCTGCTTCTCCCAGCCAAATCAAGTCCTCAAAGTTATTATCAGGTTACATTGAAGGAGTCCCTCTCTATTTGTTAAAACAAGTTACAAATCTATCTAAAACAGATATGAAAGCAATATCGGGAGACATAATTGAGTTTGGCTTGAAATATGAATCTGGCCACTTAGGATTAGTTCCATGACCCCAGCGGAGAAGCCCCCACACCGTATTTAGAAGCACCGTTACAAGGAAAGCTTTTAAGTTTGCTTCAGACAGAAAACATGGGATGTTTATTCCTTCTCTGATTATTCTTTCGCCATTGTGGCTCTCTGCATTTGTCTTAAGCAAAGGAGAAGTGACACCATCGGTAGCTATTAATAACTTAGACAGGCAGAAAGTGTCAGCTTGTATTAGTAGGCATTGCTCTTCAAGAAAGAAGCATCTCTGGACCGTTCTTTAAGTGTGATAAGAAATTCCCTTCATGCATTCTTTGAATTCTCTTTCTTTCATTCCCATTTTTTTTAAAATAAAAGAGTAGCAAAAAAAAAAAAAAAGCCAAGCTCATGATTTTTCAGTGCCCTGTCCTGTGAAGTGGGTTGGGTCAAGAATTGACACAATAGGGATTCCTGAATGTGTTTTTTTATCATTGCTGGGTAGAAGAAGAGAAAACCTGGCGGAGTTTCTCTCTAGAGTACGCCATCTGATCCCAAGCAAAATCAAGACGGGGTTAGTGTGAGTTCTTTTTCAGGACTGCCTTTTCCTCAGGATTATCTAGTATTATTTGCAAGTCCCTCCAATCGTTTGTTTACTCTGACCTTATCCCCGATCTGCGTTCCTTTACAAGCCCAGAGGTGGAGGTGATGGTCATGCCAATAAGACGCATAGCACATAGCATGTCTAAGATGCCATCCAGGAGGACCAGTTGATCTTTGGAAGGGGGCAGGTTCCATTCAGCAACACGGTCAAATAAAGCAGGGGGCTTACTACTGAAGGCTGACTCCAAACTGCTGTGTTGGAAGAGGAGGCCGCGGTGGAGGAGGTTTTGCTGGAGGAAGGGATCCGCTCTTCTGTTTCATCCGAAACTGAGGTGGAGGAGGTTTTGCTGGAGGAAGGGATCCGCTCTTCTGTTTCATCCGAAGATTTTCATCATGTCTGGTGGGGAAACACAATCTCAATGTTCAAGAGATAAAATGTTTGGTTCCCTTTATATCACTGAAACCAAACTCATTAGTGGATGAGAAAATGGTGAAGAGATGAGGAGGAAGCAGAGGAGAAGAAGAGGAGGAGGAGGAGGAGGAGGAGGAGGAGGAGGAGGAGGAGGAGGAGGAGGAGGAGGAGGAGAGGAGAAGGAGGCAGAGTGTCAGCCTTGAAACCATATTTTACTCAGAAGCTTCAAGGCTGCCACATTTAGTGCTTGGGAATTTGGGAAGGGGGATTTCATAGAGGGGTGGAAGATTAGACTCAACAACATTCTTCTCATAAAGTCAAGGACATGTCACCCTGCACCTAGAGAGGAGTGTCTGGAGGAATGTTTCCAGTTGGGACGATGTTTGGTTGGACCCTGTGATGGATAGCAGGGGATGGATTTTGAATTTCTATTGGGAAGGGAAAACTTGGAACTCTCAGATTCAGGTTTTCCCAGATGTGCCAACATGATTTCTTTAACAAATTCTTACTTGGGTGAACTTTGTTTCTCAGTGCTGAATGAAGATGGGGAGTTTCATTGGAATGCTGACACAGAGAGGAGAAGGAGGAAGAGGAGGAGGGGGGAGGAGGAGGAGGAGAAGGAGAACGAGGAGAGGAGAGGAGGAAGAGACTCTGAAAGGATGCTAACAATGGGTATAAGCTTGCTGTTCTTGCTAATATTCCTTTCAGGACAACAGAGAATATGACTTTGTGAGCACTGCTTCAAAAGTGCCTGTTTTTCTATTTATTAAACAATCTCATGGTTCCCCATACGCATTACCAGAAATCCAACATCCAAAGAATAAGCAAAAGAGAATACCCATTGCCTGTATTTTTCCTACATTATCTTCTGGCTATGGAGCTCATCACACTGAGAGTGTAATTCCAATGTTTCTCAATCTTGGCGGTTGTAAGGTGGGTGGACTGGCAACTCAAGAGCAGGTCAGGGATGTTTTGTGAGTTGACTTACCAGCCATCCTGGCTGGGGAATTCAAGGAATTGAAGTCCACTCAGTTAACAGTTGAGAAGTATTGCTTTAGAAGACCCCAGATCCCCTCCTAAACAGTTCTTAAAGTTGCCAGGGCCGAGAAAAACAATGGGATCATCTGTGTATGCTGCCAGGTGTGTCTTCTTGCTTGGATAATGCCAAGTACTTCAATCAGAATAGAGCTGGGAGGGACCTTAGAGGTCTTCTAGTCCAACCTCCTGATCAAGCAAGAGACCCTATAGCGTTTCAGACAAGTGGCTGTCCAGCCTCTTCTTAGAGACCTCCAGTGATGGAGAAGCCACAACTTCTGCAGTCAAGCTGTTCCCCTGGTTAATTGTTCTCACTGTTAGAAAGTTTCTCCTTAATTCCATTGTTTCTTGCTAAATCATGTACAAAGTACAAATCATGGACCGCTTCTTATGAAAGGCCAAACCCACTGGTTGATGTCCCAAAGGGTGTTTTTTTCAAGAGGCAGCTCGACTTTCTTGTTTTTCTTTGAAGATGTTTCGCTTCTCATCCAAGAAGCTTCTTCAGGTCTTTAGAGGTGAAGCAGCTTATTAGAAGAGAAGGGAAATGTCTTCAGAGAAAAACAAGAAAATCCAGTTGCCTCTTGAAAAAGCACCTTTGGGACAACCATGACCTCCATGGCTGAGAATCTCAATAGCCACTGGTTAAGGATTACAGTCAGAGTGCAAGTTTTGTTTTCCTCCAGTGTCTCAGATATACAATCTCACCGGAGGGATCATCCAAGCATTTTCATGGATCATCCAAGCATGTTCATAAGCATTCAGTGGCAGGCCCACTATGGACAAGGACACCACAACACTCCAGGAATCAGCTTCAAAGGCTCATGTTGATTATGATGCAAAGTGCGTAGCTCTACAAAGTGCAGCCTAATCTAAATCAGTCTTATCAAAATCCATGCAGGCCTCTGAGAAAAATAAAAATAGCTATAAATATTAAAGTAAGAAGAAAAATCACATACCGAATCACTTCTTCAGGGATATTCAGGTGTTCGTATTTCAGGTGGTCTCTCAAGTCACTTAAGTAATTCAAATAGAACACCTTTTTTCCAAACTTGTGACTGAAAACAGAGAAGTTTTATCAATATCAATAACTGGAGCAGGAGGAACACCTGAATTGTTTATTAGACAGTACCAGAATGGCACAAAATGGTGGCAGCAGCCATTTTCATATGATCAAACGTATACGCACCATGCTTGTGATCAGTCTGATGAAAATAACTGTGATTACCCAGGGTGGGATACAAAATAAACACAGTCACAAAAACAGGTGAATCCCCTTTTATTCCTTCACTTTGCTTCAAAGCTCCAAATATCCTTGACTGGAGACAAAAAACTCCCCCACAAGCAGTTACAAAAAGGAGGAAATGCCGTTTAAACTAAAAATGCCTATAAATGAGTAAAAACAACACAAACCACATTGAAGCAATTAAGGGAACCAGGCAAGATAAGGGCTTGAAGACTTCCACAGATATCGGAACACACACTGGGAAGGACGCCAAACTCAGAGAGGAATGACAGACTAGAGCTATTTCCATGCTTTGTTTCCAGCACTTGCCCGTACGCATGCCGGCCTTTTAACCAGTTCTCATAGCTGCAGCCCATGAAGAGGATCAAGGCCCCTTCCTCCGCCATACATCATGCCATTCACGTCTCTCCCTTATCCTCTCTTCCTTTCGTGCCCTAGGATGGAGAGGGTATGGGCCTGGGTCTTCCTCTGACTGCCCAGCCTCCTCCACAACGTCCGGAGCCACACTTCCACTCTCTGTTGGCTGTTCCTCCTCTCCCTCGGAGTCAGTCTCCAAGCAGAGCATGACAATAATTGTCTTTCAGAGTAGAACTTTTAGATTAGAAACTATTCTTTCAAGAACTCGACAAAAACTTCATCTTAAGAATGTAGGGGAAAGCATGCCCTGTTAGAAGATTTTTGGTTGACAGTGATGTCCCAATTAGATAGCCCAGCTAGGCCCAGAGGCTTCCATGGGGAAGAAACAGCTGTGTCAATAAATCAAAACTCTGCCTGTTATTATATATGTCAACTGTAGCAACACTTTTATATCCACACAAATGGAAAGATAGAACAATTCCTTAGAAAGCAAGAATGGATGAGAAAAGTGACAAAGATAGCAAAGATGGCAAAATTAACTGCTTTAATTAAAATTAAAGAACATATCTAGTTTTATTTCTACTTGGAAACTGCTACTGGATTTTATGCTTGAAACAGAAAAAAAGTGAAATTTTGATTTGGGGTTTACATTAGTTTGCTGTTAAAGAAATGGCTAAAGTATGGAACAGTAAAAAAGCTGAAGTTGCAATCGTATTTTGTACTTTACTGCACTGAAAACAGTTGGAAGTCAGTTGGGTTTTTTTTCCCCTTTCCCCAATGTCCCACAGCTTTCTTCCCCTTCTTTTCCTCCCTCATTTCCCTACTATCTTTATTTTCATTTGTATTTTATATTATGATAAAGTTCAATAAAATTATATTTAAAAAATCAAAACAGTGCCCAGGGCTGCTCAATTAAGCCCTGCCCCATTTTCCCATGGAAAGCGAACAGAACAACAGCAATAGCACTTATGTACCGCTTCACAGTGCTTTACAGCCCTCTCTAAGCGGTTTACAGAGTCAACATATTGCCTCCAACAATCTGGGTCCTCATTTTACCCACCTCGGAAGGATGGAAGGCTGAGCCCACCTTGAGCAGGTGAGAATCAAACTGCTGGCAGTCAGCAGAATTAGCCGGCAGTACTGCATTCTAACCACTGTGCCACCACAGCTGATGGGGAAGATACAATTCCACAGTGCCCTTCCACATGTTATCTCTAGCAGAACCAAAGCAATGTAATAAAACACCAATCATTTTGAATAATTTGTCACATAACTGTGCATAACTCTATCATTTTCCCCCAAAAAGATATGTTGAAATGATGGACTCATATTAGAGCCAAAGACTCAAAGAAAGTTGATGGCGACCAAGAAACTTCCCTTTCTTTGAGAAAATGTTACATTTGCTCTCCCTTTTCTTATTAATCCAGGTAGTCCTCGACTTATAGAGCCCAACATTTTTGTTCTTAAGTGAGCCATTTGTTAAGTGAGTTTTGACTCATTTCATGATCTTTTCGCCACAGTTTTTAAGTGAATCGCTGCAGTTGATGTGTTAGTAACCTGGTTGTTAAGTGAATCTGGCTTACTATTCTGACCCAACCTGTTTCCCAGAGAGCAAACCCAAGACAAAGGCAGCAGCACAACCTTTTAATGTTTCATCTATGAATCTTGTTTCTTCACTGATAAAAAGGCTGCTTCCAACTAATTAGCTCCGACAAGAAAGAGCCTTGCCAAGTTTTTACAAGACTGCCAAAAACCAACAGAAATAGTTAAAACCCAAGAGTCTTCCAATACTAACTGTAATGTTCACGAGGCTGAGTTTCAAAATGTCTTTGCCTTCTGCAAAGGTTTGTTTCACAGCTGGCTTTTATCCTCTTGAAGGAAGGGCCATTACCTTGCAGCCTTACTCCCGAGTCGCCTGTGCTGTTGTAGCTGCTCTTTCCTGCGAGCAATCCTGCGCACATGCGCACTTGGCACAGGCTCCTCGGGAACCTCCTCATCACTGTTGCCAGCCCCCACATTATCTGAAGGCAGCAGTCTACTCCCTAATGCTCCTGGCCCCTCATCTGAGTCCTCGCTCTCCTCATCCGTTTGCACCCGCTGCCAGCTAACCACAACACTTATCCCTTGACTTTGCTTGTCAGAAGGTTGCAAAAGATGATCACATGGCCCCAGGACGCTGCAACTGTCATATGTATGAACCAGTTGCCAAGCACCTGAAGTTTGATCACATGATCTTGGAGATGATTCAAAGGTCATAATTGTGAAAAATGGTTGTAAGTCACTGTTGTAACTTTGAACGGTCATTAAATGAACTGTTGTAAGTTGAGGACTACCTGTACTGTAATACAGCTCATCATCAAACTTTTCTCTGAAGATCAAAGTGCTTGGATGCATTAATTTGTACAAATCTATGATGAAAGGGAAAAAAGTAACGAAAAATAGGACCGATAAAAAGCAGTACTGGAAAAGCATTAGAACACTTTGCTTATAAAGCCCACATATAGTGTTCAGACTAAAGTCCTTTGAAAATGTGTCTCCTTTCCTCCTTAAAAATGCTATTATGAATTCCAGAAATAAAATCGAGGGGATAAGTAGCTATGCCCAAATATTTGGTCAGGAATGTGCAAAGCTGCTATAAGTTAACATGCCATTTTCAGAACAAGCTCATTAATTTTACTAGTCAAAGTAACCTTTTAAAAATTGTCTTTAAAAAAAAAAAAAACACAGCCATTTTTCCCTACAATATCAGGCATATCAGAAAAGCCATAAACTGGAATTAAAATGGATTTTAAGCATTGTTGACTTTTCTGGAAATTATTCTGCAAAAAGCTTAGCGAGAAGAAAAGCCTTTCATAATTACTCAGAGTAGAGTGGAAAATATGTATATCCAAGCTCCCTCTACTGGAAGGTAGCATGAAATAAATAAAATTCATTCTTTCAAGAGACAGAATTAATTGACCCAAAGAGAAGGTTTATGCTAGAAAGAAGCACTTTTGCAGAATTCATATTCTTGATTTTCAATGTTTTTAATCCTATATAAGCCTTCCAATACCTATTTCTAATCAATTAGTTCCCTCTGCCCCCAAATTGATCCTTAGAGATAAGATCTCTAGTGTCAGAGTTGGAAGGGATGTTGAAGGTTTTCTAGTCCAGACTCTTGCATAATCAGGAGACCCTAAACCTTCCAGATAAATGGGTATCCAATCAACCAAATCCAGTTCAGATACAGTAGAACCTCTGGTCATAATTATAATTCGTTCCATAACTTTGGCAATTTCTTCATCTTCTAATGTTTTGCCTTCAGGAATTTCTGAGTCAGGTGTTGGGTTTGATTGCCACCCAAGTGTGCATTCGTGACCAGATTCAAAAATTTGGTGCATTTTTGGGTCGGAACCCAATTTGGTCGTAGTCAGAAGCATTCGTGACCAGAGGTTCTACTGTAATTTGTTATTCATCTTGGAAGTGCTTTTAGGTTCTGCCAAACATTAACGCCTAGGAAATCTCACACGCATATCCAGGTAAGGAGGGACAAGTTAGACAAAGTTCACAGGTTAATCAAAAAATGATCTAGAGACTTGAACATGTGTCCTAGGAGAACAGGTTGAAAGAAGTTGAGAAGTTCAACTGAAAGATGGAGAGGAGAAATGAAGTCAATGTTCAGGTTTAAGTAAGAGGATGCCAGAGGGAAGAATGGAATGGAATGGAACAGAAAAGAACAGAATAGAATAACATCGTTGGAAGATGGTCAGGACATCTTTCTAATGTCACAGAAACTAGGTTGATATTGATTTTTTCATCCATACTCTGTAGGCACCCCTGAATGTGAGGTAGTTCAGGCCCATGGTTTTATTTAAAGGCAAGGAAAAAGAAGCCCAATTGGCTTGACCTCCTATTGCTCTGCACGCATCGACCATAAACCATGGCTTAGATTATGGGTGGAATCTGATATTTTTGAGGTTCTTCTGCCATTCCTACTCTTCTGAATTGGAGGTAAAAGGCATCTGGTGCAGAGGTGGTATTCAGCCAGGTTCTGACCAGTTTGGGAGAACCGGTAGTGGAAATTTTGGGTAGTTTGGAGAACCGGCAAATCCCACCTCTGACTCTGACTGGCCCCGCCCCCCATCTATTCTTCACCTCCCATTGAGTTCCAGATGATTGGCTGGGTCCTCTTTTGTGGCCTTGCACAGGAGAATGGAGCTGGAAAGCAGGTTAGTGGGGTGGGGAAGGAATGGGGATTTTACGGTATCCTTCCCCTGCCATGCCCACCAAGCCACACCCACAGAACCGGTAGTAAAATCTTTTGAATCCCACCACTGAGTCCTGCTGGGACAACCAGCCAAGGGAATTCCTGAGGGCTGACACTTCATTTTAACCCTCAACATAAAAAGAAGAACAGGACTAACAAGGTTCTTTGTGGCCCTCATAGTGGCAACACAATGCAATAAACCCATTTGCTCGCTCAATTAATTGAACAAGCACCTGATATTCTTTTCCTCCATAATTACAACACATTTTTCAGGTGAATCCCAGTGGCCGCTACAGAAGCTCAGAGCCACCATACTGAAAAAAACAGAACTGGCATTGCTGTTGTTCAAATGGTTTCTGGGGATAATCTCTTTGGCGATTGCCAGGAACAGGGGTGGGATTCAGCCAGTTCAGACTGGTTCATGTGAACCAGATGTTAATTTTACGTCTGGTTCGGCAAACTGGTAGTTCCAATGACCAGCTTCCTCCCCTCCCGCCATGGTGCAGGAGGTCAACTAGGCCACACCGATCATGGCCATGCCCATCCAGCAACTGGGCAGAGAACCAGTGGCTAAAATTTTTGAATCCCACCCCTGGCCAGGAAGCAAAGGCCAAATGAAATTGGAAGGCTCAGGCCATACAAATGGGGAAAAAACATCTAGTCTAAACAGGTTTAGTTGGAAACTTGGAAGGAAAACCACATCTTTATTGTTTAAAGACTACTGACTCCCCCAGCAATTTCAGTCTTCATTTTTTATCATTGTTATAAGTAAAAATTTGGTTATTACACCTGAGAATATAAAGAGCCGAACTGAAGCCATTTTATGTTTGCAGTTTGAACTTTTAAAGCTCAGAACAGTTGTGAAATGTGTTTTTGCTGGACAATTATAGCAGATTGCAAAACTATGTACTTGGCATAAGTTAGAGGTATGTGCTGGGGTGCCCTGACATTATAAATCACATTAAGAGATCAGATTATCAAAAGTCTGTTGATTCATTTTTATGTACTTCTCACATCATGCAGATGTTTCCAGACATCCCCCGAAGAATGGCAAAAGAGAAAGAACTTAGCTTTCCTTCTGTACCTCATCAGAGGTTTGAAAACGTTCCGAATTATCCTGATGAAGTTGGTGGGGTGTACAATGTAGAGCACTTTCAGATTCTTCTTGTATCTGCAGAAAAGAAAATTAAATGGCTTAGAGGGCTTCCAAATGGTGTGGCGCGAAGCAGCTGCCAAGCGAATGAAAGCAAAAGTTTTCATTACTGGGATATTATGCACTTGCCTTCCAAGTACATCTCATTTAAAGGGAATTGAATGCAAAATAAAGAGAGGAAATGGTCAGTTTTAGATGGAATTCAAGTAGGTGAAAATTATACAGCTATTACATTACAAACCACTACCTAAATTGTTTGGTGCGAATAATGAAGACAGAGGGAAAAATAAATCTCTCCAAATGATAAGAGCGAAGTGCCTGAAATGGAGAAAGAAAGAAAAAAAGGAAGAAGAGAAAAATATCTTTATAAATGCAGCTAACACACACACACAATATCACACACACAATTTGACTTAATGTTTATGTTTCAGACGTATTTGTGCTTTGAATTCGTAAAGAGAGCTGGAAGAGAAAATGAAGAAAGGTGATGAAAACTAAACAACTTGGCACAGATAAATTGATCTCCACAGTCTTCATTCTGAAAGGAGACTCAAAATCTGCAAAACAGCTGGCAATGTGATATGCCTGCCATCTTGTAGATATTGGCTGCAGCCCCCTGCATGTCCCTAAAATATGTCCTTATAAACCAATGAGAAGTTTGTTTTGCCAGTTCAGCAGTAACAAAGTATAGCGATTTTTTTCTATGACATTTCTTTTTTTTTTTTTTTTTCAGTATCTGTGTTTGTAGACAAGTCCAGCCAGGATCCTTGCAGGTAAATGATGTACTGTGTCCTTACTGGTGGCTGGCATCACCATAGTCTGCTGAACAACTGGGAATTACTTCTCAGTGCAGCTGTAATGGCATTGAAATTAGAATTTTGACGTCCAGTTGCTGTTTTCTTCCCTCTTATTGTGATGGAGGGAAGTGTTGGAAGAAACATCCACCTGCTTCAGTTCCAAGCTGGGAGAAAGACACTGGAAACATGGAGGCTGATGGGATAGACGGGTTTAATGGTGAAGCAGAACCACCAAGCACATGGTTCTAGGCAGCCGGCCACATGGGTTTGAGAGAATGAGGGGGGTATTTACACCTCCTCTTGGGCTTTGCACTTGAGCTTCCTGTTCCTGTGCAAGAACATGTATTCTACTGGCTGTTGTAGAGATCAGAGCTCTGGAGGTTGTCTGAGTCCCAGGTTTGGTTGAAGTTTGCTGATGCAATGTCCTTAGGAGAGTTTGCAACGCAGTGAACTCTGTTGTTAGATAATCCTATCCAGAGGGTCATGTCTTAATCCCATCACCCCAGAGCTGAAAGGTCTTTTGTTTTGTAGATAGGCTGGCCTAGTCTTTAGTGGGCACTAAATATCTGCTGGGAGGGAGAGCTGGCGCTCTAAGTTTCTGTTCAGTGATGGGATTTAATTTTTTTACTACTGGTTCTGTAGGCGTGGCTTGGTGGGCATGGTGTGGCTTGGTGGGCGTGGCAGGGGAAGGATACTGCAAAATCCCCATTCCCTCCCCACCCCACTAACCTGCTTTCCAGCTCCGTTCTCCTGTGCAGGGCAACAAAAGAAGACCCAGCCGATCAGGTGGGACCCAATGGGAGGTAGAGAATAGATGTGGGCGGGGCCAGTCAGAGGTGTGATTTGCCAGTTCTCCAAACTACTCAAAATTTCCGCTACCGGTTCTCCAGAACTGGTCAGAACCTGCTGAATACCACCTCTGTTTCTGCCTCCCTCAAGATTTTTATTTCTCTTTTAGGGGAAATATTTTATCCTGCCTTTTAAAAAAATATTTCTCAAAATATTTAATTCTTCTAGGAGAGGGGTAGCTTCCCACAATAGTCAGGATTCCCAGGAGGGAATTTCTGAAGCTTATGAAGCATCTCAGCTCAACAGGGTATGTCTGGGGTGGGATACGATGGCCCTTTTATGATGTGTGGGCTTCAGCTCCCAGAATTCCCGAGCCAGCCATCGTTCTCCATCTCTAGTTTATGTGGAAAAAAGAGGGTGAAGACTGTCCTCCCTCATAGTCCTCAGAGTATATGCTTCTTGTAGATAATAGGATGCTTCAGTTCAGCAACATTTGGTCCACGGGGGGAGAACAATAAAGAAATCAGCTTGGAAGAATCATCCCATGTCTTTGGGGTGCAGCCCCCCTAAACCCCATGTTTTTTGGGGGGCCTGCAGTTATTTGCAGAAAGCAGGATGCTTTGGGATAGCTCAAAGCCCAAACCTGTCACTTCAAAAACTTTACTTGTTTTAGGCGTGTCAACCTGTCCCTTTTGGCAGATCCAAAGATCTTTTGTCAACCCACAAAATGGGAGAACTCAGTAACCAAGCCGTGCTGAATGAGCACGATCGCTCTCTCCTGCCTTCAAGGTGAATTTGAACTCTGCCACGGTGCTGGAAGCAGAGAGGAACGAAGCAGAATGAGGGTCAACATTTACACATTGCTCAGGAGAGATAAGCATGCCTGCTACTTTGCTTTTTCTAGCCTGCTGTGAATGCTGCCTCCTCTTTTTATCTGGAGAAGGTTCTAGTAGGCAGAAAGATGGAAAGAAAGAAAAGCAGGTGGATGGACTAGGTACAGTGACAGTTAAAGGAGCTGAAGCCGTGGTGGGATTCAAATTTTTTTACTACCGGTTCTGTGGGCGTGGTGTGTCTTGGTGGGCATGGCAAGGGAAGGTTACTGCAAAATCCCCATTCCTTCCCCACCCCACTAACCTGCTTTCCAGCTCCGTTCTCCTGTGCAGGGCAACAGAAGAAGGCCCAGCCGATCAGCTGGGACTCGGGAGGCAGAGAATGGATGGGGGTTGGGCCAGTCAGAGGTGGGATTTGCCAGTTCTCCAAACTTCTCAAAATTTCCACTACTGGTTCTCCAGAACTGGTCAGACTCTGCTGAATACCACCTCTGAGCTGAAGGGCCAGTTAGGGATAAATTGTTATGGAGAAAATCGATCTTTGCGGTCACTAAGAGTCAACCACGACCTGGCATAGGATCCTTATCATTTCTTTTTTAAGTTTAGAGTGGTTGCTGAATTGTGCAGTCCACAGTGGTTCCACCCTATAACTCCATCTTCCCTTAGCTTTGGGAAGTGCACGTCCATTTTGGCTTCGGGAAGAAGATTGTTCTAGATACATTCCACTCTGCGGCTCGACAGGAATTGGCGGGTCCCTAAAGATTGTTAATAAATTTGCCTCTTTGTTTAAAATAATGACATAATGACTGCAGTTATTATATCATATACTTACATTACTGTTTCTCAATCTTTAGCAACTTGAAAATATGACAAGTTCAATTCCCAGAATTCCGCAGTTGGCATGCTAGCTGGGGAATTCTGGGAACTGAAGTCCATATATCTTCAAGTTACCAAGATGGAAAAACATTACCTAACATTATCCACACACTTTATAAACACTGTGTTGTCACACATTCTGCAACCTTGTAATGGATCAGTATAATATTAATATTTTATTTTACATGACTACATTGAACGCCTTAATGCTTCAGCTTATAGAATTATTAAAAATATATGTGACTACACATGATCTTAGCCAAAGGCTAGTAAGAGATGTGAGTTATCTGTATAAAAGATTCTGTACATTGCTTGTTGCAATTCTTCTGAAAAGAAAGCTACAATTCCTCTTCTGGATAGTGTGACAGTTGTTATTCATATTAGACATTATTATTCATTTTTATAGAAATACTGTGACTTGTGTTGTATTGTAGCAATTATTACTTTACAAATATTTAAAAAAGATTTGTGCTAAAGAAGCCCTGTTCCTGGTATTTGAATGCACGAATCCAGCAATTCCCAGCAATTTCTTCCAAGTTGTATTTCAAATTCCCAATGTAATTTATAGTCCTGAAATTTCCTAGTGGTTTTCCATCCAATTATTAACTAAACCCGGCCTTTCCAATACCAGACAAGGTTGGCCAATTGCTCTCTCTTGAAAAAAAACCCTGCCAATTAAAATGGCGGCATCAATGAATCATTATGTAACTTCTAGTCAGTGTCAAATTTTTGGTGACAATCACACGGGTGCACAAGATAAAGTGATTGCATACTAGGGCAAAAATAACGTAGAAAATAGTATCAATTTTGTTTAAATTGATAAAAAAATCAATTTAAAAAGATTGGTTTTAATTGGCATTTTGATAAGCCGGGCATTTTCAGGGCCTTCTTGTTCATGCTAACAGATAAGAGGCGGCTAAACCTCTTTATGGTTTTGTTTCAGGGGAAAAAGTAGAAAAAAGCGCCAATGTTTTTTGGTAGCATCTGACATCTGAAAGTGTGAAAATTGTCACACTTTTCCAAGTTCAAGGTAGTTGGAAGTCCAACTCATAAATATAAGATATCCTTGTTTAGAATTAGTCAGTTTTGGCAGTCACTGTTTGCCACTTTTCTATATCCACACAGAAGGGCAAGAAAATGAGTTTTTTGAAGAAGGCATGGAAGGGAAGCTCAGTAGTTCATATTCCAAATGTCAGGAACCCCAGGAAGATTCTTCCTTCAAGTTCTATAGAGAACAGCCCTATAATAATCAAACATTCTTCTGATAATATCAAAAGGAGAGCTGAAAAAGCACACATGACAAGGCCCAATGGCAGGATTATGAACTT